TTTGTCGCTGAAGAATCGCCCCCTGTGATGATACTTGCTTTCTGCCACAGAAAGGGTCATATCGGGAAGCAAAAAATAAAAAGAATTGGAATCGTAAAAATATTCAGCACATAAAATCAACGTGAAACAAGCTTGTGAATCTCGAGTAGAGTTGTCACTGCTTCCTGCCACACAAATGTACATGTAATACAAAGCAATAATAATATCGATTAGAAGGGTAAACCTGGACAAAAAAAAAAAAAAAATCAGAGTCTTAACAATGGGAAATAGCAGTAAGGCGCGTACTAAGCGGCTCTTGTCGCAGCGCCCGGCGCGTCCCTAAGCTGCCACGACGTAGTCGCGTCCGTCGTGTCCCTTGAATGCTCGACGCAGCGCACGTCGCGTCCCTTAGCTGCTCGCGACGTAGCAGCGCCCATTGCGTCCTTTAGTTGCCCGCGACTGCGCCAGCGCCCGTCCGTCCCTTAGCTGCTCGTGATGTAGCAGCGCCCATCCTACGCTCCTTAGGGACAGACGTTAACACACATGACATGACATGTACGGCTGAGAACAAAGTGGCCATGAAATTTAAGCAAAACATACTAATGGAAGCACAACAATACCTCAAGATGCGTATACGACGACTAGAAAGTAGCTGTTGCTGACTGTAATCGCAGCCTGCAATGAGGACAGATAGATTTGGAAAGAGGGCGGGGTAGGGGTATTATTAAAGCCCGCAGCCCAAGTTGCACAAGCTTACTAATCTTGATCGCTAGTGCTCTTGGCCTTGAGTGGGTTTTTTGAAGTACCCTGGGTGACGAAAGGGGGTCGCAGATGAGAATTGGCAAGGCGACTTTAGACATTTCGCAGCCAATCACAAGCGAGGGTACGATTCGAAAGGTGGGGCCAATCAGAGTGCTTCCCCACCAAACACAATGTGCAGAACGAGGAGGCACAGAGGCCTCTACTGTCCACCGCCGCTCAAAACCCACAATTTCGCTCGACAACATATGCTCGTCACTTAGAAGCTAGAACGCCGTAAAACTCGTTTTCTAGACAATAGCACAACAACCACGACTTCCAAGCACATGGCTTCAGGTCAGGCTCGCGCCTCGTAAGAGCATGTACGAAACGAATACAGGAATTGGCCGTCCTTAGAAATGAAACAAGCGATGCCACGCAGATAGCGGCTTATGGCATCGTACCCGCGCGCCACGGGTTTAGACAGAGCGGATTGCGCTAATCCGTAAAATTAGCAAAATATACATTTCTGACGGTACCCCGAGGAGCCATAGAGTAGACGGAAGAACAGACTCACGGTCGTCACATTAGGGCTAACGAGTGGCGCATCAATACTATCAGGAGTGCGGAAACGGGCCTAAAGGAGGAAGCCTGCGTAAAAACGATGGCGCCACGGCGTACGAAAACGTCCACCCACAGGTCAGTATGTGGACGAGCCACTGTCTGTTAGACATCAAGTGCGCCACCCATTGCCAACCAATGTAAGGGAAATCGAGAAAATTTTACCCGAGAGGAATTGTGACTGCAGTCAACGCGCGCGGTGTACGAACCGCCCTACGTAATCCACGCCTACCCGTGGTAACACACGTACATGTGCTGCTACATAGTAAATACGAGCTCAGAGGAGTAGGTACACTATAGCAGCACATGTACGTACATAGTACGAGCCAGGTTTGGGATGCGCACTAGGTTTCTGGCAGTCATTCGGTCACTCACCGCCCGAGGTAAGTCACGCCGCTGTATTTCACACGATGGGTTCCACCTATGACCACACTTACAGCCCAATGTCATTCCACCAGGTGCGCACTCCACCCATAAAGGCACCAATCCCAACAACCGCTGCGCACCAGACCCCATTCCATCCGTAAAGGCATTTCACCCCATGCCCGCCACCCCCATACCCCCAACGCAAACGACGCGCGCGCGGCGCGGGGCAGATATGCGGGCAGCAGCTGGGGCAGCGGGCGAGCGGAAGCGGGGCGGCGCGCTGGTCCTTGGGGCGTCTCGACGGGCGACGATAGGGGGCGACGCGCGGGCCCCCGGGGCGCCACGACGGGCGACGGGAGGGGGCGACGCGCGGGTCCCCGGGGCGCCTCGACGGGCGACGGGAGGGGGCGACGCGCGGGCCCCCGGGGCGCCACGACGGGCGACGGGAAGGGGGGCGGCGCGCGGGCCCCCAGGGCGCCGCGGCGGGCGACAGGAGGGGGGGGGGGGGGGGGGGGGGACGCGCAGGCCCCCAGGGCGCCACGACGGGCGACGGGAGGGGACAGCGCGCGGGCCCCCGGGGCGCCACGACGGGCGACGAAACCGCCGCGCGCTCCCGGGGCGCGTGGCGGGCAGAAAACCGCCGCGCGCTAAACGCCACGCGCGCAGGGTGCGCGGCAGGCAGAAGACGTCGCGCGCCCGAGGCTCGCAACAGGTAGGACAGCAGCGGAAGCAGGTGGGCTCACAGGCCAGGAGCGATCTCGCTCTGATAGCATGTCAGAATAACGAACAGGAATGTAAAACAGGAAAGAGGGTTTTCACTAGCAGCAGATAGGATACATATAGCAAATCCTAATTTGGGCTGTACTCGCTATAGAGTACCCCACTGCAGACTAAACAATAACACATTCTGACACCTAGCAGCTTTGGAGGCATTCACCAAATCGAACCTACTTTTCAGTGCCGCTTCAAATCCTTCCCATGTCGTCGGAACCGTGGTAACACCTAAAGCCAAACTCCCTAAGCTCGAAGTTGCAGGTGCATGCCCCTCGCCCTGTTGACACCCGTCCAAATGGGCCCTTACAGCAGTTTGCATAAGTTGGCTCCACCACTCCAAGGCCGGGCCCCTCAGCAGCGTAACGGAGTACTCGATCCGCTGCTACGCATCCGCCTCTTGCACCCCGCTCGCGGCGAAGCAGTTGTTGAGCATGAAGAGCCACGTTTGCACGTTCGCGTCGCATTGACTTGGGTCGAACGGCTCGGGTTTCTACGGCTTGAGCGCGCTTCGACGTTCTGGCAACACTTCCGCGCCAGTCGGCGTGTTGGGTGCAAGAGATGGTGCGGCATGACCATGAAAAATTGACGCGAATTCACGAAGCTGTTGCATTTCAGCCCGTACCTGACGATTTTCCAGCGTCAACGTTTCGAGTTGGTGCATGAGTTGAGCAAGCATGTTGCCCATGTCATTGGGGACAGCGTTCATGGTTTCATCCATGTCGGCTCGACGACTCCAAGTCTGCAAGTCGGTACCGCGGGACGATGACGTCATAGTCTCGTCGTCGACGGTCGCTCGTTAGACGGACGGCTCCCCGCGAAGGCTCTAATACCAAATGTTAGGCCCCTTGGCCTAATCCGCTAAAGATTAGCGGGGTCGACTAAGTCGAGGACGAAACGCGGCGGAAGACTTTGGCGAAAGAACTATTGGCGAAATAGGCGAAGGAGTTACTGAGTAATTGGAATGAGAATTGGTTGAGAATGGATTGATATTGGCAAGTACAAGAGATGTTTATATAGCGAACAAGAGAGAATGTTGGAAAGTAGTTTGTGGAACTAGGAATTGGAAAGCTAGAAGAGTAGAGTGCCACGTGGCACAAGGAAATCTGGGAAATCCCAAAGGGATTAGATGAAGATAAGGTTGGGATTAGGTTGGGGGCACTGTTTAGGGTAAACCACCCTTGAACAGTAAAATACCCCGTAACATACACAAACATTTGTGAGATTTGAAACTGTAGCATGGTTACTTACGGGTAGATTGGGTAATCGATCCGCACATCGATCGCATCAGATGATCGATCCTCTACTTTTACCGGGTCCTAACCACTTGCACTCCACCCAAGCCTTTTCACCAACTTTTTCCCTACATAGGCGGTTGAGAACGACGGTGTAGATTCGAGAGCGGTTTGTTTGATTAGCCGCTCGCTACTCATCAGCCTGAACTGAAAGCGTATCAAACTGTGATGAGACCTGATAAGCCCACTAACACCTCACGCATGTCTCGCTGCCGCTACATAGATTAGAGCCTTCACATTAGTTACATATTTAGCGGCTCTCTTTCGCATGAACGCACGTTCGTCTAGGTCGGTATCAGCGAGGCTTTGTCGCATTGCGACCTTAATCTTCGGTCGCGAACAATCGCTGGGGTCGCATAGTATCGCACTAGTAGTATCGGTCGCCGTAATTTTGTCTTTACCGAACTTGCTTTCGTGTCAATTGCCCTTTGAGTTCGGCAGGGAAATTTCACCTTTTGTTACTCCTCCGCCTGTTGTCTGAATTCTCTATGAGCTGATTTGGTAATCGCCATCATCCCTTCTGTCTTTACTAGCAATGGCGGCCCTCCCGTCCTTTCTTCCACCATCCGCTTTATAGTCAAGTACTGGCAATGCAATTGGGCCACGTGGCACGTACAGCCAGAGATGCTGGACCGTTCGATCAATCGATCAATCTCCCCGAGTTCCCATCACTGGGAAGACGTCCCTTTTCTGAATAGTTGTAGTTATCTGACTAAGACTCTCGCCCCGTAGAAGGACCATCGTGCGACTTTTCAGTCGACCAGGAACGCACGACGCGACGCCACCGCCGTACGATGCTCATCACCCCATCCGTACGCGCAATTGGATTCTCGAATGCGGTACTCTAAGGTCCGTTTTAAGATGACCGTGACGGCACGCCTCTCTCACCTCCTCCCCCTACGCATCCTTCTGCACCCCCCCCTCCTCCTCGTCCTCCTCCTCTTCATCTCCGCTGCACGATCCCCCGTTTGCAATGCCGCTGCCGCCGCCACTCTCGCAAGAACCACCGACGCGCAATTGACGGCAGGAAGCATCAGAGACAGAAACAGCAGAATCGCATTCTCTCCGCCTTTCCTCTCGCAACGTCCCGTCAACTCCTTTCTCTCCGTTCCCACAGAACGGTCCTCTAGCCGTCACGATTCTGCAACCCTTTCTACTCTAAGTGATCCAGTTCCCAGAAGCGCTGTTCTCGAACCAGCGTCTCGGGATGGCGGGTCGCGAGCTTCGCGCATGTTGCGAGAGGCGTCGCGAGCGTCGTCGCGCGCGTCGCATGCATCACGAGCGTCGTATGCGTCGCAGGCGTCGGAGCTCCACAGTCAGTTGGCGGTTCTGTGGGAGATGGCGAATCGAGTGGCGATTAACGGCACCGTCATATTCGTTTACTTCAACGCTGGTGAGTGAAGTGTCTTCTCTCTCACCCGCTCACACCCCTCCCTTTCCCCCCACCTTCTTCTTCCTGTGGGTGATAGCCAGTGGAGTGGCGATCCTCGTCTTATCTGCCCTCTCCGTTCCTTCCCGTATGTATATACAGACCCTCTCCCTCCTCCCTCCTCCCTCCTCCCTCCTCCCTCCTCCCTCCTCCCTCCTCCCTCCTCCCTCCTCCTCCTCCCTCCTCCCTCCTCCCTCCTCCCTCCTCCCTCCTCCCTCCTCCCTCCTCCCTCCTCCCTCCTCCCTCCTCCCTCCTCCCTCCTCCCTCCTCCCTCCTCCCTCCTCCCTCCTCCCTCCTCCCTCCTCCCTCCTCCCTCCTCCCTCCTCCCTCCTCCTCCTCCCTCCTCCCTCCTCCCTCCTCCCTCCTCCCTCCTCCCTCCTCCCTCCTCCCTCCTCCCTCCTCCCTCCTCCCTCCTCCCTCCTCCCTCCTCCCTCCTCCCTCCTCCCTCCTCCCTCCTCCCTCCTCCCTCCTCCCTCCTCCCTCCTCCCTCCTCCCTCCTCCCTCCTCCCTCCTCCCTCCTCCCTCCTCCCTCCTCCCTCCTCCCTCCTCCCTCCTCCCTCCTCCCTCCTCCCTCCTCCCTCCTCCCTCCTCCCTCCTCCCTCCTCCCTCCTCCCTCCTCCCTCCTCCCTCCTCCCTCCTCCCTCCTCCCTCCTCCCTCCTCCCTCCTCCCTCCTCCCTCCTCCCTCCTCCCTCCTCCCTCCTCCCTCCTCCCTCCTCCCTCCTCCCTCCTCCCTCCTCCCTCCTCCCTCCTCCCTCCTCCCTCCTCCCTCCTCCCTCCTCCCTCCTCCCTCCTCCCTCCTCCCTCCTCCCTCCTCCCTCCTCCCTCCTCCCTCCTCCCTCCTCCCTCCTTCCCTCTCCCTCTCCCCCTTGCCCAATTTCCCTCCCCCTTCCCCTTCCCCTCCCGCACGCCACTGCCACGCGTCACCCTCTCACAGGCTACAACGATATGCTGGAGAACTGGGCATGGCACGTGCAGGCGGTTGGACTTGGCGGCCATTTCATCATCTTTGCTGCGGACCAGACAGCTCTAGCCTTCGCCACCAGCAAATGGCCGGGCCAGGTGCGTATAGCACTGGGTAGGGTAGGGACTGTGGTTTCTTATTTGCACTGGGGTGTGGTGGTGTGCCTTCTGTCTGTACTGGAATTCAGGGGTTCTGGTTTTTGCATGCCTGGCTAGGGTAGCATAGCAGGGTGTTTTTTTCTTGGATGTGCCTCAAAACGCGTACATCAATAGGGTGTGTCTACTTTATCATCATCTGAAACGTCCTTATGAAAGCGGGCAGTTATTTTCTTCCTCCTGAACTTCTCAAATTTGGCCTTTTTCTCGTCATCATTTTTCAAGCGTACCATTCTCCTCCTCCTTTCCTTCCTCACCAACAAGTGGGTGGGTGGGTGGGTGGGTGGGTTGGGTGTCGGAACAGGTGTAACCTTGCCCATGCCACCTTCCTCTTTCTCCCTGTGTGATAAGTCGAGTTTCGAGTTTCTCCCTGTGTGCTGTGCCACCTTCCTCTTTCTCCCTGTACTCCCTCCATACATGTCTCATTGTTCACCTCACTTCCTCCCTCGTTCCTCCTGCGTTCCCCCCGTCCCCCCTCTTCATCCCCGTTATAGGCCGTCTTGCTGCCGTTTTCAGGGCAGTTCGGGCAAGAAGAGAAAATTAGTAATTTCGAGTCGGCGCATTTCTATGGGGATGCTGGTTTTCACAAAGTCGCATCGCATCGTGCGGTGTACATTCTACACCTACTGTGCTTTGGCTTTAACGTTTTTTATAGCGATATAGATATAGCTTGGGCACAGAACCCTCTGCCGTTTTTCACGGCGGAGGGGAGTGTAGGGATTGCGAGAGCGAAGGTCGAAAAACGGAAAGCTGAATTGGCGGCGAAAGAAAAGGCTAGATTAGAGGAACAAGCCAAGGCAGAAGCGGAAGCAAAGGCGAAGTTAGAGGAGAAAGCCAAGGCAGAAGCTGAAGCAAAGGCCAAGGCGAAAGCACGAAAGAAAGCAGAGGCAGCACGAGCAAAAAGAGCAGCAGGAGCAGCAGAAGGAGAAGCAGCAGAAGCAGCAAGTGATTTGGGTGACGTGGGAGATCTAAGTAACGTGGTGGGGGATGTGGGAACAGAGTCTGAGAGAGAGGGGAATGTGGGGGTGGGGAGGAGCAACGGCAGAAGGAGGAGGCGAGGGAGCAGGAAAGGCTAGTGGAAGAGCAGAGGGAGTGTCTGATGGTGCAGGGACAGAGAGAGAGGAGGAAAGGCAGCAAAAGCGGCAGTTGCAAGAGGAGCAGGGGCAGAAGGGGGTTGGGGGAGGAAGTCAGGGGAACGAGGAGGGGGCACAGAAGCAGCAATCGGAGCAGCAGCAGGAGGAGCAGAAGGAGCAGGAGGAGGAGCAGACGGAAGGGGGAGAGGAGGATGATTTTGATGTCTACTTGACTCTGGATGAAAGTGTACTCGTTAATGCATCAAGTGCATGCGAGCCTTTAAGCTACTACCCGGAAAATAAGATCTATTGCAGCTGTTTCCTCTACGTTCGCCCCACACCCGGCGCTAAGGCTTTCATCGCAGATTGGGCGTTTAGGATGGCGAAAACAGGGCGATCTGGGGGAATAGACCAGGATCAGATGCAAATGGTGATTGGGCAGATGGAAAAAAACATAGTGGATGGGAGAGTCATTGCGCCTAAAATCGCAGTCCTTCCGCCGAATAAATTCCTTTCCGGGCACGTTATGACGTATAACTGGACGAGGTTTGAGACGTTAAAGCCCCGGGCGGTTACCATTCATGCGAATTACATCTCTGGGAAGGATGCGAAAAGAGAAAGGTTGAAGCAAGCAGGGTTTTGGAGGGTGGGGGAGGGGAGGAAGGAGGAGGTCAGGAGGGAGATTGAAGGGTTGGCTTTAGACTTTGAAGGGGAGGGATGGCTAAAGGAGTACCTTGTGGAAGTTGCTCGGAAGGCGCGGCGGGTGGAGGGGGACGGGTGGGTGATAGTGGTGGTGGTGTGTGAAGGGGATGGCGACCTGTTTCAGAACTGGCTCAAGGGCATATCGCTGCTTGGGTTTGGCGGGCGGTTCGTGGCTGCAGTGGCAGAGGAGGTGAGCTGGCTTGCCTGTACTGTATGATGCTCGTCTCGTTCTGCTGGTCTGCGCCGTGCTAACTGTAGCAGAAGTGAGCTCAAGCTGTTCTCGACTGGCTTAATGGCATATCGCTGCTTGGATCCGGCGGGCGGTTTGTGGCTGCAGTGGCAGAGGAGGTGAGCTGGCTTGCCTGTACTGTATGACGCTCGTCTCGTTCTGGCGGGCGGTTTGTGGCTGCAGTGGCAGAGGAGGTGAGCTGGCTTGCCTGTACTGTATGACGCTCGTCTCGTTCTGGCGGGCGGTTTGTGGCTGCAGTGGCAGAGGAGGTGAGCTGGCTTGCCTGTACTGTATGACGCTCGTCTCGTTCTGGCGGGCGGTTTGTGGCTGCAGTGGCAGAGGAGGTGAGCTCTCTCAGCTGTGCTGCTCCTTCTGCCAATTTGTCTCGTATTTGACTTTTTGCCCAGCTCAGGTTTGAGTTTAAACTTTTTTTTAGTTCAAGTTGTTCACACCACCTGCCTCTCCTCAAAATACCAGCTGCTGCTCCCTCTGCTCCCTCTGCTCCCTCTGCTCCCTCTGCTCCCTTTCCTCCAAGTTTCGTTTCTGAGGCGCCTCAAAGCTTCTGAGTGTCTGTAACAACGTGCAACAACACCCACTGTGTTACCTTGCTACTGCTGCACTCCGCTTTCCTGTTTCACACCTTGCCATGGCATCGTCCTTTCCTTGGGTCAGAAACCACCTCCTCCCCTTCTGGCTTTGAGGCGCCTCAAAACTAGACTCATCCTTTCCTCGGGTCTGAAACCGCCTCCTCCCCTTCTGGCCCGCTAAAAATCGCCCCACTTCTCCCTGCCTCTTTCCTTGTAGCCTCTAATTTCTCCCCCATACTCACTCTACCACAGGCCGTAGCATCGTCTATCCCTGGATCCAGCAGTCACCTCCCCTTGCAGCCTCCCCGATCACCCCACTCCCTTCCTGACTCTTTCCCTGTTTCGTCCCCCTATTTCCCCTAGCGCCCCTTTCTCCCCCGTACTCACTCAACTCCAGGCCGTAGCATCGTCTATCTCTGGGTTCAGCAACCACCTCCTCCCCTTCCCTGCCCTTCCTTACCTCCTGCTCTTCCGCCCTGCCCCTTTCCTTTCCCTCTGTTTGCCTCCCTGCCTCCCTGCTTCCGTATCTCGCCACAGGCCGTGGCATCGTCTATCCCTGGGTTCAGTAACCACCTCCTCCCCTTCCCTGCCCAAGTCCCCTCTGCCAATGCCTCTCGGGTGTGCTCGGCTCTTCCGGCCCTCCTGGCGGCTCAGCTCATGCAGGCAGAGCAGAGCACTATCATCAGGTACGATGCGGTTTGATGCGGTTTGATGCAGCGAACTGCACAGTTACGCATATTTCCCCCAGTTATCATGTTTCATTTCGTGACCTTTGATCTGCCGTTTTTTCAAACCTATTTGAATCCACTCATAAAGCATTCAAAATAATTCCTAGCCTTCCCACACCATTTCCTCTCAATCCACATTTGTTGCTGTCTCATATATTCTGTCGTTGATTTGTATTTCTCTCTGTATTTCACTCTATTCCTGTCTGCCTCATCCTTTCTTCCCTTTTCTGTGTTCTACTCCTGTCTTTCTATTTTTCTCTCTCTCCGTGTATATGTTTCCTGTCTCTCTATTCTCTCTCGTCTCCGTCTTTCCTCTCCTTTGAGGCGCCTCTAAAGTCCTCTTTCTCTCCTGAATTCTCTCATACTGCCCCACCCCTCCCATCCTATGCAGTGATGTCAGCAGCGTCTGGTTAAAAGACCCCTTCCCCTTTTTCTCCCCAGACTTCAACCTCGTTCTCCCTTCCTTCCGGGACCATTCCTCATCCCTCACAACCACTACGACCTCCTCTCACTCCCCCTACTCCTCCTCCTCCCCCTCCTTGTCTCTCGCTCTCCTCCCCACCTCGGCCTCCCCCTCCTCCTCTTCTCCCACTCAAACTTCAAATCCCACCAACCCTTCCGCCCATGCGGCTGCTACTGCTGCTGCTGCTGCTGCTGCTACTGATGCTGCTGCCGCTGCTGCTACCACCACTGCACCTCTTTCTCAGCAGCAGCTGGGTTTCCTATCTGTATGGCTAATAGCCCTTCGTCCCTCGGCACCCACTAAGAATTTCACTTTGGAATGGGCCAAGCAAGCTTTCTCCAATCACAGGAGAAAAGCAGCGGAGATAGGAGCAGGCCCCCCCGAAACCTCTACCAGCAGCGGTAGCAGCAGCAGCGACGGTTCTGGTTCGGGCCCAAGCCTCCGGTTCAGGTTCGGGAAGCTGCGAACCACGGGCCTCCAGGCTTGTATGAACCGAGCCATAGCACGTATGGTGAAAGAGGATGGTCAGAAGGATGGAGGTTCGGTAGGGGTGCTACCAGTGCCTCTGTTCCCCCCTGGGTGGTTGGCAGTGGGGAACCGGGAGTGGTTTGAGGCGCAGCGAGAGCGGTTGGTTGCGGTGCATAACAACTGTGGCATGGAGAGCAAGCACAAGGCGAAATGCTTCAGGAGTATGAAGCTATGGCTGATTGATGAGCGATAAAATTCTCCATGGATGATCTAATGTGGGTGGGTGTGTGACGACTAGTTGTCAAGTTGGGGAGTTGACACGCCTCAGAACTGCATGCTGAAAACGGGTAACAGAAGTGTTACAAGGGGGACGGATTTTAGGGAGTGGCCCTGTTCGGAGTCAGCCAGCCAACCAACCCAACATAACCAATGCATTGCCATTTTTGTTTGCGGTGGAATGTAGGAAGTTACTGTAGTTTTATTCGTTAATTTTGGTCTGCTCTGCAAGCTGTTGTTCCAGTTTTGTTGTTGATGTCGTAGCAATACAGTATCAGTCAAATCAAGCATGTTTATAGAGCTCAAATCACTTGTACAGTACCGTATTGGCATCAAACATGTGCAGTGCACCCTTCCAAAAGCCTCAGAAGATGGGCTACAGGGTACACCACACATGACATCACATGGAGGGAGCGAGGCACGGGTCTACCACTGGCAGGCTACCCGTGGTACCATATGACATCACATGGAAGGGGAGAGTAGTAGAGAGTACACCACGCATGACATCACATGGAATGGGCGAGCCACCATATATTTTCCTCTAGGTGCCCCAACAAGAAATGTGCAATAGAGTGCACTGCGCATGACATCGCATGGAAGGGGCGAGGCACCGGTCTACCATGTCTGATTGCTAGTTTCGGGATCCTTATACGGTAGTTGCCTCGACAAGAGATGTGCCATAGAGTACACATGACATCACATCACATGGAAGGGGCGAGGCACCGGTCTACCATGTCTGATTGATAGTTTCGGGATCCTTATACGGTAGTTGCCTCGACAAGAGATGTGCCATAGAGTACACATGACATCACATCACATGGAAGGGGCGAGGCACCGGTCTACCATGTCTGATTGCTAGTTTCGGGATCCTTATACGGTAGTTGCCTCGACAAGAGATGTGCCATAGAGTACACATGACATCACATCACATGGAAGGGGCGAGGCACCGGTCTACCATGTCTGATTGTTAGTTTCGGGATCCTTATACGGTAGATGCCTCGACAAGAGATGTGCCATAGAGTACACATGACATCACATCACATGGAAGGGGCGAGGCACCGGTCTACCATGTCTGATTGCTCGTTTCGGGATCCTTATACGGTAGTTGCCTCGACAAGAGATGTGCCATAGAGTACACATGACATCACATCACATGGAAGGGGCGAGGCACCGGTCTACCATGTCTGATTGCTAGTTTCGGGATCCTTATACGGTAGTTGCCTCGACAAGAGATGTGCCATAGAGTACACATGACATCACATCACATGGAAGGGGCGAGGCACCGGTCTACCATGTCTGATTGCTAGTTTCGGGATCCTTATACGGTAGTTGCCTCGACAAGAGATGTGCCATAGAGTACACATGACATCACATCACATGGAAGGGGCGAGGCATCGGTCTACCATGTCTGACAAGGTAGGGTTCTCTTTTAATCGCGTCGACAGCAGATGCCCAATAGGGCACACACACATATGACACCGCATCCCATCACAACAAACCGCACCCCATCGCATCACATGGAAGGGGCGAGGCACCGATCGACCATGTCTGACAAGTTAGGGTTCTCAAGAGCTGCTGCTACCCTCTCCTTGTCATTCAGCTGCTTGTTCACTGCATGGCGCAGGGCAGACAGGCAAGAGTGGGGAGGGGAGGGGGGGGGGGGGGGGGGGGGGGGGAGGGGGGATGAGTACAGGAGAAGGCAATGAGGTTTGAAAAGACTCCGAACACATACGAGGTTCTCAAGAGCTGCTGCTACCCTCTCCTTGTCATTCAGCTGCTTGTTCACTGCATGGCGCAGGGCAGACAGGAAAGAGGGGGGTAGGCAGGAGGGGAGACAGTGGGGGACACTTCAAACAAAGGTTGGGTTCTCTAGAGCTGCTGCCACCCTCTCCTTGTCATTCAGCTGCTTGTTCACTGCATGGCGCAGGGTAGAGAGGGCAGGAATTGGGGAGGGAAACGGGCAGGAAAGAGGCAGGGGAGATGGGCTGACACACACACTCTCCTTGCCTCGAGAGCTGCTGCTACCCTCTCTTTGTCGTTCAGCTGTTTGTTCGATGCACGGCGCAGGGTGAGTGCAGGGGAGGAGGCAGAGAGGCAAATGAGGTTTGAGAAGACTCGAGCACACGTTCTCAAGAGCTGCTGCTAGCTGTTACCCTTGCCATTCAACTGGTGGCTCACAGCATGCCGCAGGGTACAGCAGACAGGAAAAGCAGACAGGAGAAGCAGACAGGCCGGCACAGACAGCACGAACACACAAAGGAGCTTACCGCAACCGACAGCAACAGCAAGATGACTTTTTAGTCGACTCAAAACTTTTATCCAGGTCCATACGGTCTATCAAGTCGACTCAAAAGTCATCTAGCAAGAAAACACCAAGGAGCTTACCATAACCGACAGCACTATAAAAAAAAAATTGTGTTACCACAAACGAGCTAGTGAAGACCAGTGAATACGCATGGAGCCTTATTCGTCAGCCTCAGCTTGACGAGAACAACACCATGAGCCTTGGCTCATGTACATCAGCTCACAAGCAACAGCACTATTACCAAAGGCGTGCCACCACAAACAAGCTAGTGAAGACCAGTGTATACACATGGAGCCTTATACGTCAGCCTCAGCGTGACATGAACAACACTAGGAGCCTCAGCTCATATCCTCTGGCTCACCTTTCACTCAACCTGGCTCGGCAAGCCACACACGGCACCTATGTGCTCAGAAGCCATTTAATCGACTCAAAGTCACCTCGATTCGCTCAACCTGGCTCGTCAAGCCACACGCTGCCCTCGTGTGTTCAGAATACGCCAATGAGCAGCCCCCGTACGTTGCGCGGCAGCTGGCACGGCAACTGGCTCGGCAACTGGCTCGGCAGCTCGATTGACTCGGCTTAAGCCTTCCTTAGAGGCCCTTGGTTTCGCCCATTGACATCTCAGCATTCGATTCTAGCCTTGTATCTCAGCCTCTGTTCTTCCGAAAGGGTAATTGACTTACCTTCTGCTTCTGAAGCATGAGAGCCAGGAGATAGCCGAATGTCCACCTGTTACCGTGAGAAAGGAAGGCGGGTGGTAGGGTAACCACATGCATTAACGTGGTGACAGTCAGGCAGTGACCAGATCTGGGAGCGGGCAAGATAAACCATATGGGTCAATTTGCTAAACTTGGACCGGATCAAATTAATTGAATATATAAAACGAGAAAAACTGGCTCATAAAGCAGCCAGAATTACAGGCAGAAACATGCTGACAAAAGCAGGCTGATGCGAGCCATTGTGACTTGGAAAATCATGGACCATGCTGTTTCAACAAACCATGGCCCACGGCGATCCAAAAAACTCGGCAAAAGGACCCTAAACAAGGTGCGCTAACCCCCCCCAAACCTCGCCTAAACCCTCTCCACCGCTCTTAACTCCCCCGACTTGCCTTGAATCTTCGGGGCAGGCATCTCATGAGCTTGACTCGAATGGAGAGGCCAATTAGGGTTGCCATGCTACAGTGCTGGACCGTGGGGGTAAAGCGAACGCTGATCAGGGATATACACGAAAGGGGGCACGTGGGAATGGGGGGATGACGGGATGGGGGCATGAGGGAATGGGGGGATGGCAGGATGGGGGCATGAGGGAATGGGGGACGCCAGGATGGGGGGACGCAGGAGGGAAGCAGCAGATTCAAGAAAAAGGGGAACGGAGAGGGAAAGGGGGAGAGGAAGGGGAAAGTGGGAAGGGGGAACGGACTGAAGTTACATGATGCATACATGATAGAGTTTCTTTTGAGTCGACTCAAAAGTTACATGATGCATACATGATAGAGTTTCGAGGATGGTGAGCATCTCAAATACAGTCTATTCAAGGGCACCAGTACTGCTTCATGTATCCGCACACCTTGCCACACACCTTACCACACACCTTACCACACACCTTACCACACACCTTACCACCTTGTGGCACGCTAAATCTAAATGCACGTACACGGCACGGCTGACTTGACTGCCACAAACGCACGCACGCACAGCGCTGCCAACCTATGCATTACTACGCTGCTCTAGCTCATCCACTAGATACACACGCACGCACGCACGCACGCGCGCACACACACACACACACACACACACACACACACACACACACACACACACACACACACACGCACGTGATGTGGCTGCCTGCATCGTCACACTCGATGTTCTCCTCGTTCACCACGTCCAGTTGTTCTAACGAGTACGGGTGCTCGGGGTCGCTTATATCGCGGATGTGCTGTGCTGGCGGTCAGGCGAGACAAGCACCAACGGTGAGCGGCGAGGAGTGGCAAGGCCAAGGTAAAGGAGGGGACGGGAGGGAAGAGGAGGGGAGGGGAGGGGAGAGGAGGGGGGAAGGGGAGGGAGGCGAGGGGAGGGGAGGCGAGGGGAGGGGAGGCGAGGAGAGGCGAGGCGAGGAGAGGCGAGGCGAGGAGAGGGGAGGCGAGGAGAGGGGAGGCGAAGAAAGGCGAGGCGAGAGGGAAGAGGAGGCACAAACACGAATCCGGAGAGCGGCGGGAGACGACGGCGAGTGCACAACGGAGTTTATAAGGGAGAGGCGAGGAACCCGGAGAGGAAAGAGGAGCCCAAAGAGGCAAGAGGAGGCCGGAGACAAGGAGATTCCGGAATTTGGAACAAGGGAGCAGAGGAAAGAGAGGAGCGGGTTAAGGACAAACTGTTCGCCAGGTCAGGTAAGAAGCAATGGCGGGAGAATCTCGAAAGAGGATGCTTGAGAGAGAATTCAAACGAGACGAAACAAAAGAAAAAGAAAAACGAATGATACAGGATTGCATAAGTGGATAGAAATTCACGCTTCCAAGCATTAATTGGTGACAAGCGAAAGGGAGTAGATGGTTCGATGGGGAGGATATCAAAAATCTCGGCAGCGTCTATCAACTCCCTCTCCCCTTCCGCGACCGGAGGCCGCGCCTCCGTGACTGTCCGTGCTTTCCGCTCATGAAGCTTCGGGTT